GCAAATTTCTGAAGCCTTCATTTTTCTTAAAAGAAAAGCTGAATTTCAGGGGGAAAATTCATACAGGCCTCCTCCCCATGCAGGAGGCCACCATCCTCCAAGAGTCTCGCCTCTGCAACAGGCTACTCCGCCTTCCTACTACCCACCAGCCTCCCACCACCCTACATCCAACCTACTTTCCCCCACCCTACCCACCGCTTTTCCCTTATACCCCCACCACTTGGCCAGGCTGCAAACTTTTCTAACTTTTCAGCTCTGCTTGTCATTTAAATAAAAGTTCCAACTTTAGCTCATTTCCTGGGTCACACATAAGACCACAGGCTGTTTGACCCAGATGAGACACCTCTTGACATTTACTGCCTATAAGTTCATTCCACCAGATAAGTCCTAAATCATCACCCTCAAGTTTGAAGTTTCACAATCTCCAGGGCAAGGTCACACTCCAGCCTTGTTCTTTGCCACAGCAAAACAAAAGTAACGTTGGCTCCTGTTTCTTAGTGAGCTCCTCATTGTCATCTGGGACCTCGAAAGCCTGGCCTTCACTGGCCATCCTTCTGTCAGCCTTTTAATCACAACGATTTCCCTGAGATGAAGAGGGAAGGTTTGGAACATTGTACATACTTGTTCCTGTCCTCTTCCAACCCCTCCAAATGCTCACCTCTGGCTTCTAGCCACTTCTGAGCCCGCTGTTACATTTTCAGCTGTTTGTCACAGCCTGGCAAGGTAGTGAAAGAGAAAAAACTCAATTTTCAGGAGGAAACTTCAAGAAGGCTTCGATATTTACATAAAAAAGAAGCCCAGTGCTAGTGTGATATGGCTGGCTTAGAGTTAGAACTTGAGAAATGCCATTTTGTACAAGACAAAGCTATTTTCCAAAAATAAGTTGTAACGACGGCCCCATTCTCCTCGCAATAACTGCTGACCTTGGCTTCTGTAAAGTTGCCTGCCTTTACTTATCAGTAACTGCCAGAAGTGCTTGCCTTTGCTCATCAGAAAGTGCTGAAAAGTTGCTTGCCCTGCATCCCCTCACCCTCTTGGTCCTAAATCCAGGATGTGGTTTTTCAGCTTGAAAGCCCCGGTCCCCCTGAGCTCGGAGCCACAGGTTAGAGAGACGTGAGTCCTCTGTGGTTGCCGGCATAATAAATGACCCTGCAATCTGACATACTTTTGTCTTGGTGCTAACTTTCTTCACTCGGTCCAGTACAACACTACTAGACAAGACGCTGGGGAAAAGTCACTGAAGGCATTTCACAGCTCCACTTTACAGAAGTAATTTTCTGTATGATCATCATCAAAGGGCTTTAATTGGATCATAGTTCTGCATGCTGTAAAGGAAGCATAGTGGCTGTTGCTTCCGGGAGGACTCGGGAAGCCTCCCAATCATACCAGAAAGACAAGCGGTAATTAAATGTTTCATGTGGAAGGAGCAGGAGCAAGACAGAGAGAGGAAAGAGGTGCCACACCCTGTTATAAAAGCAGATCTCATGAGAACTCGCTATCATGAGGACAGCATCGAGAAAATGGGGCTTGAACATTGGTGAAGGATTCACCCCCAAACCCCCTCCACACACGACTGTTTCCAGGCAGAACCTACTGCAGAGGCAGAGCCTCTTGGAAAATCTGTATTACAGCAGTGCAGAAGGAAAATATGGGCTCGGAGCCCCCATGCAGGAGGCCACCATCCTCCAAGAGTCTCGCCTCTGTAACAGGCTACTCCCCCTTCCTACTACCCATCACCCTACATCCAACATACTTTTCCCCACCCTACCCACCGCTTTTCCCTTATACCCCCACCTTCTTCCAGTTCATAATTAAATCACCCCCCACCAGGACCCACCTCCAACATTCGGGATTACACTTCCACGTGCGTTTTGGTAGGAAAACACAGCGAAAGCATGTTATTCTCACTTTGACCCCTGGAATCTCACGTCCTCCTCACAGAGTGAAGTACAATTATGCCTTTTCAAAGGTTTCCAAAACCCTTAACTCATTCCAGAATTACCTCAAATGTAAAAAGTTCAAAGTCTCATCCGAGACAAGGCTACAGTCTCTTGTGCCTATGAGTCCCTGAATTTAAAAGGGAGCTCTCTTTCAAGGTACAATGATGGTACAGGCATTGGGTAAGCTTTCTCAGTCCCAAGGGAAGAAATTTCCTGAGAAAATAACAAAATGGGACCACAGGCCCAAAGCAAGTCCAAACTCCAGCAGGCCAGTGTTCATTCAATCTCATAGCTGCAAAATCATGAAGAGGACTCACCATCACAAGGGCAGCATTAAGATGGTGTCGAACCATTTGTGAAGGATCCACCCCCGACTCCTGCCCTTCACTCCCACCCCTCACTACAATTCCCTTAAATTCTCCCCACGACCCCCACCTTCCAACCTCCACTCTCCACCATGATTAAATCACCTTCCACCAGCCCCCACCTTTAACAATTCCACATGAGTTTTGGTAGGGACACAAATCCAAATCATATTTTTCTGCTCCTGGCCCCCAAATCTCATGTCTTTCTCACACTGCAAAATACAATGATGCCTTCCCTACAGTCCCTCAAATCTTAATTGATTCCAGCATTTACTCAAACGTCCGAAGACCAAAGTCTCATCTGACACAAGGCTATAGCTCCTTCTACCCATAAGCCTCTCAATTAAAAGGAAGTTAAATGCTTTCAAGGTACAATGATTGCACAGGCAATGGGTAAGCATTCTCAGCTAATAGAAGGAAACTTGCCAGAAAGAATGAAACACACTGGGACTCACAGGGTACATGAAAGTCCAAAACCCAGCAGGACAGTCATTCAATCCTACAGCTCCAAAATTATCCTTTTTGAATCCTTGTCCCGCATCCTTGGCACAGGGGTGTGAGGGCTGGGCTCCCAAGCTCTGGGGCAGATCTGCGCCTGTGGGCTTGCAGTGTTCAGCCCCCGTGGGTGCACTCATGCACTGGGCTGCTGTTGAGTGCCTGTAGCTTTTCCTCACCGACAGTGCAAGCTGTTAGTGGAGCTATGAATCTGGGGTTTGGAGAAAGGTGCCTCCATGTATGAGGGCTTCAACGCTATACGTCCCTTCTTTGCTGGCCTAGTAGAGGTTTCCCATGAGGCTCTGCCTCTTGGAAAAGCTTCTAGCCGGACTCCCAGGTTTTTCTGTATATCCTCTGAAGTCTAGACAGAGGCCCCCAAAAGCCTCTAATCTGTTGCTCTGTGCACCTGCTGGCTTAACAGTATGTGGAAGCCATCAAGGTTTGGAGCCACCTGTGAAGCAGTGACCCATGCTTTACCTGTGCATCTTTCAGCCGTGGCTGGAGCTGGAGCTGGAGCTGTGGCGATGCAGGCAGCAGTGTCGTGAGAATGCACACAGCAGCAGGGCCACGGAGCGGCCCTGGAAACCATTCTTCTCTCCTAGGCCCCAGGGCCTGTGACCACCAGAGCTGCTGCAAAGGTCTCTGAAATGCCTTCAAGGCCTTTTCCCATTGTCTTGGCTATTTGCAGTAGGCTCCTTTTCACGCAAATACCCTAAGCTTTCTTGAATTTTCCTCATGAAAATCAGTTTTTCTTTTTGACCACTTGGCCAGGCTGCAAATTTTTCAAACTCTTGAGCTTTGCTTCTCATTTAAATAGAAGTTTTAACTTGAGGTCATTTCTTAGGTCACACATAAGAATACAGGCTGTTCCATGCAGACAGGACATCTCTAGAGCTATGCTTCTGCCTAGATGTTCATTCCAGCAGATACATCCTAAATCAACACTGCCAAGTTTACAGTTTCACAAATCTCTGGGGCAGCGTCACCGTGCACCCACGCTCTTTGCTAAGGTCAATCAATTGTAACCTTGGCTCCTGTTCACAGGAATTTCCTCATATTCGTCTAAGACCTTTTAAGTCTGGCCCTCAGTGTCTATCCTCTGTCAGCCTTCTGATCACAAGTATTTAACAATTCTCTACAGTGGTCCAAACATTTCCTCATCTTGCTGTCTTTCAAGATTTCCCAACTCTCCTGGCCTCTGTCTTTTATCTACTTCTAAACCTGCTTCTGCATTTTCAGCTACTTTTGTTAGAGCCTGGCAATGTGGTAAAAGAAGAAAAGTTCATTTTCAGGGGGAACATTCACGAAGGCTTCAGATATTTGCATGAAAAGAAGCTGAGTGCTGGTTGCCAAGACAATGGGGAAAAGGCCTAGTAGGCATTTCATAGCTCCACTTCACAGTACTCATTTTCTGCATGATCATAAGAAGGTGAATAGCCTCATGGTTCTGCAAGCTGTAAAAAAATGCATAGTGGCTTCTGCTTTGGGGAGGAATCAGGAAGCCTCCCAATCATACCAGAAGGCCAAGGGGCAAGGAGATGTTTCATACGGCAGGAGTAGGAGCAAGACTGAGAGAGGACAGAGGTGCCACACCCTGTTATTCAAGCAGATCTCATGAGCACTCACTATCATGAGGACACCATCTCAAGAAGATGGTGCTTAACCATGGGTGAAGGATCCGCCCCCCACCCTCACCCCCACCTCCCACAGTTTCCAGGCAGAAGCCTGCTGCAGAGGCAGAGCCTTATGGAAAATCTCTACTAGGGAAGTGCAGAAGGAAAATATGGGCTTGGAGCCCCCACACGGGAAGCCACCACCCTCCAGACCCCAGATTCATAGACCCACCAACAGCTTGCACCTCAATGTGAAAAAGCTACAGGCACTCAACACTAGCCCAGTCCATGAGAGCAGCTGTGGGGGCTAAAGCCTGCAAAGCCACAGGTGCGCTGTCCTAGTAGAGGTTTTCCATGATGCTGTGCCTCTGCAGCAGGCTACTCCCCACTCCCACTACACCCCACCCTCCCACCATCCTACTTCCAACCTACTCCTCCCCACCCTACCCCCCCGTTTTCCCTCCACCCCACCCCCTCAC